CCGAGCAGAGCGTGGGGCGAGTTTGTGTGGGGCGGTGGCAGTGGTGTTTGGATAGCAAAGGCACCCAAACACACGGAGGTGGGAGTAAGTGGGTGGAGTTTTGTATAGAAGGGCGTGTGGGGTTTGGTTGTGAAGTGTGGTGGTTGGAAGAAGGTTGAAAAGGTGAGCAGCCATGTGTAGGGCCTCAACCCAATATTCAGGTGGTAGGTGGGCTTGAAAAAGAAGAGTGCGAACGGTATTGTTTATGGTGCGAATGGTGCGCTCTGCCCGGCCATTTTGCTGGCTGGTGTGGGGACACGAGAAACGGAATAAAATCCCTAAAGAGGCAAAAATATTTTGGAGTGGGGAGTTGCGATATTCTGTACCATTATCACATTGAACAGATTTAATGGTGGTGTTAAAATGGTTTTGAACATACTTAGTGAAAAAATTGAGATGATTAAAGGCATCAGATTTTTGTTTTAGAGGAAAAACCCATAGATAATGCGAGTAATCATCTAATAATAACATGTAATGTTTAAAACCTGTAACACTAGGTATAGGAGATTGCCACAAATCTGTATGTAATAATTCAAATGGAAAAGTAGAGACACGACTGATAAAATGGGAGACGAACATGTTTTCCCAACTGACACGCATGACATAAACTGAGACTAGAATTTTTAAATAAATGAGAAAGACTCGAGACGCCATGTTTGGATGTCAACTGACGCGCTGAGTGCTTGGGCTTGTGCGGTGGGGCGCAGGGGGTAGAGAGGGCCAGCATTATTGGATCGATGTATCACAGTTCCCGTCCGAAGATCCTTCACAGAAAAGCCATGAGCATCAAATTCAATAGAGCAGTTATTGTCACGGGTAGATTGTCGGACAGAAATAAGATTATGGATAATATGAGGGGATATGAGGACATTTTTAAGGGATAAAGGGGGGTTGGTGGGGAAAAAATGGTTACCAACAGCCGTAGTGCTAACTTTAGATCCATTACCTACAGTGATATGAAGAGGTGAATTTAATGATTGAGAATAGACATGAGAAATAGTACCTGGGTCGGAGGCGATGTGGTGAGAGGCCCCGGTGTCCATTAGCCAAGTGGGTTCCCGCAGGCTCATAGTGTCAAAGTTGTG